ATGTATCATATTAGAAAAACATTAATTACATGCCCTAAGGTAAGAAAAAAAAACATCACATAAGAAAACTCGTCGCCGGGATTCAAACGCTCGCTGCCGGCTCAAAAATGTTCGACGTGGGAGCCTCAGTCTGCTCAGCCACGCCGCCTCACTGAAATACAGTTGCATCTTTAGCTATATCTGGAATATAGTCCCGCAACCCAAACTTTATACTGTAATTTCTCAGAAACAAAGGCCCATTGACACAAATTCCAATTAGGATGTTGATGCTTAACATCGCAGTTAGCGAATGCGCTATGACGCGTTCAGAAATCGAATTAGCAGGTTGTGGCCTTGTAAATTTATTCCGCACGGAACGCAAGAGCGTTACAAAATGGTCAATCATGGTTAATTATTCTCTACATATTCGATTGTGATTGATCCATTTTTTAAGAATTAATGTTTAAATTCACATTATAGACCTTGCTTTATAATAGTCTACGTAATTTACATGGTCTGCATAGGAGAAGAACGTGTAAACATTAAGTAAATTGTATGTAAACAATTCATGTAGACGTAATTTTGAAAGCTATAGCACAACCTTGCTATACACTACTAACCAAAAGATATTTTAAGGGGTCATTCCACTATGATGGACTCAAAAAATCGAATTTTTTCTTTTAGCATTTTTTGACAGCAAATATATCTAAAAATACGTAGAAAAGATTTTAAAGTTTGATTACGCTTAATTTGTTTACTACAAACGAGTTTGTATAGCCGCGCGTGGCAGCTGGCGTTCCGTCTCACTGCCCGAATGTGCCAAAAACCTGACTGATACCTGTCTGAACAGATCAATCCCTTTCGAAAGTTTATACTAACATTAAGAAAGTGCAGAGCTGAAAATTTAATATGCTTTCGCATTTCGTCGAGATAACAGCTCAAAGATGGACAAAGAGCAATCGAAGTAGTTCAAGACGCCCCTGCAATCCTTCTAAAAAACGAAAATTTCATGGCAATCGTTATTCAACTGAAGAGATGTGAAATGCTATATAGGCCACTTACTATCATAAAATCTCTACAGAGAATAACACTCAACATTCATATTGCCTAGAAGGAGCGGACTCTTGGCGTGACTGGCGAAAACATGAGGTTGCAGGAATTTTAACCAATTATAAACATCTGCCCGCATTGTGTGATGAAATTGCAGACATTCTGAAGCCTATTTACGAAAAACTAACTTTTGAAGATTTGCTAGAAAAATGCAAGGACGAAGAAACTCGAAATAATAACGAGAGTTTTAACTCGTGCGTTTGGCATCTCGTTCCGAAACATATCTTTGCTGCAAAAAAATTCTTCAGATCGCCACATTCTATGCTGCATGCATTTTTAATGAAGAATTTTCTCCAATTATCAAAATTATTAAATCATGGGAGTGACGATTAAACCAGAAGCCGCGTCCTTCGCTGAAAGAACTGACAGCGGTCGTATGGCGACAGCCACGAAACGGAGTCAAATGGCTTCAAAAGAAGCTCGAATTGCTCGGAAAAACAAAAATCAGCTCAGAATGAGATCTTCGAAGAAGCCGAAGGAATATTATATGGATCTAGTATCATTGAATAAATATAAATACCATTTAAATATGTTATATGTAAAAATGTTAGGAAAATTTTTAAACGCATTTTCCTTAAAACGACATTTTTTCATGCAACACGTTGGTAAAATCTAAAAACCTATACCACCAATCAATCTGAAATTTTAACATGTTATTCAGCACATCGTTATTGGCTATCGTCGGAACTAGAATTATGTTTATACAATTTGTTTTTCCTATTTTTTACTTTAAAAAATTACGAGAAAAAATAAAAATGTCGCATGCCTACATTGGATTTTACTATTGACTTAATACTGGCCCAAGATTGGTCGCCAGATCACCTATATTGGCGCAGTAATGACGACCATGACTGGCCCACCAATGGGAATACTATGGAATGATAATTTCGGCCCAGTACTGGCAAATAGTCCTGGCCCAATCGTTGTTAGCCAGTACTTTCCCAGCATTGGCAATACAATCGGTTATTAATGATTAAGTACTACCAATTCAGTAATTTAGTAATTTTTTGGCCAGTATTTAATTTCTGGTAAATACTAATAATAAAATCGCTTTTAAGTATTGATAGTAATTAAATACTGGGAATTATTGTGTAAAAATGAAAAATGAGAAAATCATTATACAAAAATATATTTATATATTTTTAATTTTCTCATGTCTCATAAACCGCTAGGAACCGAAGATTGTTAACAATCACGCTCTAAACTTTTGCGAATTCTCCCTCGATAATGTTTCGATCCCAAGTAGTCACCATCTATGTCCTAGCCGCGTTAAAGTGTTCCTTAACCTGACGATCAAACGACATGCGGTGATTCCAATGACTCCAACGATGTTCTTATAATTTATGCTTGTATAATATATTCTTATAGTATTCACAGTATAACATAACCTACCAAACACCAAATAACAGTTATATAACTTTTATTTAGTGTTTGTTGGATAATTTATTAATAGATATTGAAGCAATGCAATAACATTCGATATGCAATGGATACTGATATAATGTAGTGAAGCAGGGATAATTACTTTTAGATTTTTAACAAAATGTTATAATGATTATTATGTTATGATAATATATTATTAATCCAAATAAAAAAATAAAAAGATCCAAGAAAATCCAAATCAAACAAATCGAATTACTAAATTTTGAAAGAAACTTTTAAAGAATACTATTATATTTAAAACAATAGTGTTGTTTCATCAAATGACATGATTTCCTTGGATGAAATAAAAGTTTTTTATTTTCGTCATTTTAAAAAATTACGTTTAAGAATATAATATTTTAATGAAACAAACCAAAATTTAACAAGTACGAATATTAAATTTAAATTTAAATTTAATTTAAATTTAATTTAAATTTTAAGAAACTTTTTTCTCTGAAAAAACGGTATAAGAAGTATAACACATATGTAATAAAACGAATTCTAGTATTAACGACTGCCATTAACAAGTACTATTCTAAGTACTATTCTATTTGCCAGTAATGGCTAAATATTGGCTGACAGAGATCCGGGCGACAATTGGGTGCCATACGTTGGCCGAGCGTTCGGCAGCCAGACGTTTGCCAGCATTGGGCCAGTACTGGCTGACAGAATTCTTGGCCGATAGTTGGGTGCCATAGCTTCGGCCAAGCGTTGGCTTCGTTGTTACTACTGGCGACCCTATATGGTGTCTAACTTTAAACATCCGCTATTTTGTTATATTTTTATAGATTCAATTAGTTCTAATTCGGGCGATAATAACACTCAAAGAACTTAATAATCTTTTTAAAATATCTTTTTCAAATACATGGTTTTTTCAAAATTATCAACGCCGCCGAGGTATCTGTTTTTCGAGGTTCAAAGGTTACAGAGCTCTTTTAGCAAAAAAAAAAGAAAAAAGTGTAAATAAAATTTTTTTATACACTTGAAAGATAACAAAATAAAGGTATACTTTTTACTTTCTATACAAATATTTTTTTCATAAGGTAAAAAATCCCCGAAAATCGTTAATTTTTCAGCGCATTACAGTGGAATGACCCCTTAAACATAAATATCCGGTAAATTGCGCACGAAAAATTTTTCGTGTATGTAAGCAAAAATTTGTCTATTGGGTTATCATAAAGATATAAAATAGTTAGCAAAATTTGTGCACAATATTTTTCTCATAAATACATTAAATGAACATAAGATTAAAACGTATGCAGAAGAGTCATGTGAACAAACAACACCACACACCCAAACATTTATAAATAAGATTGTGAGTCAATCAATTTATTTTTTAATTAATTCTTTTTTATTTAATAATGTCATGTTTAATATTATTTTATATAATTGACGATTAATTAACCTAGCACACAGCACAAAGCATTAAATCAATGTTGAATCTATAACAACCTATAGTGACATCAACGTTGGCCAACTCATATGTGCTGCTAAAGTATAAGCCAATTCAATTCGAGGCCGTTTAATTGATATATTATTTCAACAAATTCAATCGAAGAACGTTCTACTGACGACTGATTTCAACGAATTCAATTAAAGAACGTTTAATTGACACTTGATATAAATAAATTTAATCGATTTAATCGAAGATCATTCGATAACGATTGAAATGATCCTAGTGCCCTTTTCCCTTCCCCCTTCAACAAATCTTACTTAACGCTTCTTATCAATCATTGGTATCTTACTATGATATTCTAAGTATGAATATTATCCACAAAACCAATTGTAACCTTGTAATCAAATTGTAATCGAGTGTTCTTTGATTGAATCGATTAAATTCGCTTATATAAATCAATTGAATGGTCTTTAAAAGAAATAAGAAATATTTTTGGATTGATTTTGCTCGAATTAATCGTCGATTAGTTTGAATCAAAACATATTTATTCAAATTAATATATATTTACATATTTATTCAATTATTGAGAAAAATTTTATTGATATTTTTATAAATTTTCTCAGAAATAGATATCTAACAACCATATGAAAATGATGAGCAGTAAATGATAAAAAAGGCTTTTTTCCAAGAATAATGTTGCAAATTTTCTAAATGTGTTCTGAAAACGGGGATGTAAAATTATCATTGGAAAAGAAAGCTAGTATTTTTTATCATTTCCTATCCATCATATTAAGCAGGGAAATAATATCGAATTATATGTAAATGCTAACAGTATAACTATATTTGCACGAAATTTTCTGATGTATACGGTGATACATAGATTATCAAATTAATAGAGTAATACAATTAATCTAGAAATTTGCATACACAACCAAACTCATTTTAGGAATAAAACGTAGACAAATTTCGTACAAAATTTGCAGGTATAACAAGCGCAAGCTTTGCACACAAGAATTATTATCTGGATAGTGTATTAACAATTGCAATTGTTAGTAATATCGATTTCATCGATGGAGAAGATAAATCTGATTACATCGAATTGCAGCTTTTGTAGCACAGTAAAGTGATCCATACTTTCCGCCAAGTAATCCTGCTATCGATGAAATTGCTACAATGTGACCGTGATTTTTTTCGATCATGTTTGGTAGGAATGCTTTCATAGTCTAAAAATAATAGTCCATTATTAATATTGTTTTATCTGTTACATATTATGTGTCTTTTGTTTTCAGTAAAAGCAATAACTACAAATAATGCCGTGTGTAATATAAATAAAGTTAGTAATGTTAGTATGTAATCTAATATTATATAATGATATAAGTAATGTTAATTATTTCTTAAGGATAAACTTCCGAAAAACATCCATGATTTTTCATCGAAAAAGAAATCTAATGTCAGAAATATTTAAATAATATATAGGTTGTTCATTTCCACTTCAATATTTTCTAAAGTATACAATGTAGGAAAAAAATTTTACAATTTTAATTACAATGTAGGAAAAAAATTTTAATATGAAGTTATAAGAATTTAAAGGAGACGTATGATGGCGACGTTAGAAACTACATATAAAAACTGCGGTTTCCAAAAATATTTCAAAATTAACTTTTTTTCTTAAATGAAACCCTTATAGAAATATCATACTAAGAATAATTGATAATTACTTATTATCCAGTATTTTTAATACTGAAAATAAGTAATTATCAATTATTCTTAGTATGATATTTCTATAAGGGAAAGGGGTATTTTTCATTATAAAACTCAAAAGAGCAAAAAAGTTTGTGCCCGAAATTCTTTGGAACTTACCTCTTTGATTTGATATTTCACAGTGTTGTTGTGCCCGTGGTAAGGGACACAGAAGTAAGATCCGGAATCGGTGTGTCGGGTGCGGCAGGGTGCACAGAATTGTAGTCGTAGTGTAGATATAAACGAATCTTTATTATACGTAATAGTTGTATATTTACTTAACTCCCGAACTCTTATATTAACGCGTATTACGGCCACGTACGTCGTTGGCGAGAGACCGGAGGAGAATCCTCTCTTGTTCTTCTTCGGTCTTTTTTATAGTAATTATTCTTGTTATCGGAGGGGATGTTTTGGCAACTAAGGAGTTGCCAAATTTGATGCTTACATAGCCCAAATCCGATGTATGACAAGATGATGCTTCGCGCACTTACATAATCATAACATCGTTGTAACGCTGTCGAAGCGGTTTCTCATGAAACGCTTTAGCAACGCTAAAAATAATATTCACGGTCATAACATTCCTCCCCCCATGGAAAAAGAAAACGGAGGGTCTGGAACGACGTTTTCATCTTTTTCTAGTGATGACCGCTTTTCGTTCTTATACAATTTTTTCCTCGTTTTACAATATTGGTTATAATCATGTCTTATTCTTACATTTTTCGCTTGTTACAATTTTATTTCCCGTGTACAAATATGGTTATAATCGTGTGCCTTATAATTGTACGTGTAAACTATGTCTGCGTGCTAATGCAGGATTGGAACGTGTTCTCACGTTTCGTTTGATGCTACGTTCAATTACGACCGGAGGGGTTTTCTCGCACTTTATTTTCTTTATTATGAGTACTGCGATTATGATTACTATCACTACGGTTATTCCGCTCAGCGCTGTAGTATAAATTATGTTTTTGTAACGTGTCAAAGAGTTTGAGCTATTTTCTAAATTCTGGTATGTTCGTGTTAGCTTATTACTTAGTTCCGCTAATTCGGATGGATTTTGTATAATTTTATTTGGTTTTACTTGTAGTATTTCGTTTTTCTGTTAATCGTGTTTATATATTCCTGTTCTAATGTTGTATTGTATTCCGGTATATGTGTTTGTATCGAAGCGCTTTTTACGATGCCTCGCGCTTGTAATATAATGTCCTCAATTGTTACTCTACATTGGTCTTTGATATTTATAATATCTGTTTTATTGATTTTCTCATAAAATATTTTTTTTGGCATTGAATATGAGCGGTTTGCTCGCAACTAGTGGAATATAACCACGTGTTTCTTTGTGTTAACGCAATTATAAATGTATGATTGGTTGAAATATATTTTGTGTGACAATTTTTTATTTCTTAATGTTGTGTACATTTGAATTTCGCAAGGTGATTCTGCATTAATTCTATATATCGCGTTCTGTTGTGGACAAGTGTATTGGTTATCGAATTTTACGCAGTTTGTTAACTCGTTTTCTTGTATTGTTAAATATGTGTTTGTCTCTTGACTAATTGCTATTTTAGTGTGAGTTATATCGGTTAGTACAAAAATGCTATTATGACTGTGTACCGGAAACGGATGTACGTATACTATCTCGTAAGTCGGGTAAATTATGAGAGGTAGGTTTAAAATTGTGAAAATATTTTTATCTCTATAATCGTAAAGAATTTTTCAATTTTTAACCAATTTTCTTTTCTAGGCGTGAACGGAAAATGTGTATCTTTTGGTATATGAATCGATATTTCCTGTAATTGGGCTATAATGTGTGACGTGGTAGCCTTGGAGGCGCCCGTCCCAAGAAAACCGTACCGAATTTGTGTGGATGTTTTCGCATGTCGCGTCGCGAACGGTTTTTCGCGAATATTCCCGGTTATCGCGTCCCGTCGTATTATTATTTGTGAGAATCTATAGGACGAATATCAGAAGCGATTTTTGCGAGTGAAGTAAATGCGAAGGTCAGCGCGTCCCTAACTTTGTGCCCCTCGGCTTTCCCTTGCCAGCCACCAAGACTAGAGGAGCAGAGGACATCGAGGGACGAAGACGCAGCGCACGACGATGCATCACGCTCACACTCAGGTGAATCGCTCTCTCAAAATTTCGTGTTAAAATATTCTCGAATTGCCGATCGCTCACCAATACCGAATATTCTAACGGTTAGAATATTCCGTACCGAGAGCACAGCTACCGCAAATTAGAAGCGAGACTGTCAGCTGTATTTACTTTTAGCGGACGCAGCCGTCGTGCGAAACCCAGCAGGAAAAAACTGGAAAGCCGAGAGAGGCAGCGAGCAGATCCACGACGGCAACAGTGTCTTGAGATAGGAAACGTCTCGAGACAATCATACCGAAAATTGCCGATTCCTGACTACCGAATATCGCAGGACGAGAGGGGGAGCGTCGAAGGAGGACTCGCGAGGATACGTGATCCTCCAGGAGCCGACAGCCCAGCAGCCTTACCGTGACCGTCGCCGCGGCTACACGATTATCGAGCGATCGAGTTGCAAGTGTCGTGCGTATCGAGAGTGAGAGATAGAGAGAGAGAGAGAAGCGTAATAGAGCAGGCGGAGATAGCGGGAGAGAAGCGGGAGTGAGCCAGTGGAGCGAGAGAAGAGAATGAGAGTCGAAGGGCCGAGCGGGAGAAGAGCGAGAGAGAGAGAGAAAGAGAGAGAGAGAGAGAGAGATAGAGAGAGAGAGAGAGAGAGAGAGAGAGAGAGAGAGAGAACCGCCGAGGACTCTGCAGAGGAAACCGTCACTGCTACCGCTACCTTCACACGCAGGGCGAGCCACCGCTAATTGTAAGACCTCCCATCTGCTCCGTATTTTGCCCGATTGTCGTAGTTCGTGTCATTATCGCTCAAGTACTGTTGTCTCGTCCGCGGAGCCGCGCGTATTAAGACTCACCCGAGGAGGTCGTCCTCGGGTTTTCCGTTGTCGCGAATATATTGTCGCGTCTCGCGACTACATTGTGAATACCGTCACTTTTCTTACCGGGACGTGCGGGAGTCCCGATAATAAACTCACTAGTACTGAACCCGTCTAGAGTCATTTTCATCTTCTCCTGACCCATCCCGTCTCCGACTTGAAATCCTAAGAGCTACCGGTCCTGACGGCTCCGGGACACGCGAATTTTGTGTTGCATATCGAGTCTCGCGTTTATCGAGGTGGTGCGGCCTTTCCGCACCTGGCACCCAACTATCGTTCGCGTTTTAGTGGCGTGAATCGGAGCCGACGGCAATTTGCTGACGCGGTTGACAGGCGACTGTCTACCGTCGCTCGCGAATTAACTTCGCGAGTACCGTCGCAAATGCTATCTATTGGCGTTAATTTGGTTGGTAAGTTCCCTAACTTTATGCTATCTAGGTAATTAATTATATCGTCTTGGTCACGAATTAAATCATTAAGTAAGGCGTTAAGTATTGTAAAATGTTCATCTATTTGTTATCTTATTATGAGTCCAGTTTCGTCTGTGTAGAGTTGTGTAATACTACTCCATATAATTTTTTCATTTGTTTCTAATGTTTTTTCTAAATTATCTAAATGTCTATTGTCGTATTGATAATTTTTAATTGATTTGCTACGGCGTGTTGCAAAGTTCCTTGTTTGTTTTCTAATAGATTTAGTTGTTCATTTATTATTTTCTTATCGCTGGCGTCCATTATGCCGAATAATGATTTTGTTAAAGACCCAATTCCGTCTATTAATCCTCTTTTTTCGTTTTTGGGGTTTTATATATGTTGTGTACTTGTTCCGACATATTGTGTATATAATTTAAATTTTTTTTATATAATTTTACGGGAGTTGTCACATATCTCCCATACTGTACTTGGCTTCTTTTGCTGGTTGCAAATTCTTTCTGCGCTATCCAGGTATCCCTGTATCTGATTTCGTCGACTGTCTATCGTCTATATGTCCATTTTGGTTACTGTTTTCCATGTAGAAGCTACTTGATGCAGTTGTCCTTGTGTGTCGTAATACATTCCAGGTGTATGTATGAATTTGATGATTTCATATAGTGCCTTTGTTTGTATTCCATTTGTCCCGAGATTGGCACTTTTTATCAAGCTGAATGCCCTGGAAGTAGATCAGGGTTCAAGTGTTGGGATTAATATGATACCCTTTTTTATATTGCTTAGTTGTTTGTGTGTATGTCGCGTCTACTTTTACAACAGGTGCATACTAGTGGTTTATGATCGGTTACTATTTTAAATTTGGTTCTATATACGTATGGTCTGAAATGTTTTACGGCCCATATTATTGTCAATAATTCTTTTTCTGTTGTATTATAATTTCGTTCTGCTTTCGATAATACTCTACTTGCGTAGGCTATTGGATTATTTTTTCCTAATTGCCCTTGTGATAGGACGGCTCCGATTGCGTTATCGGATGCGTCCGTAGTAATGATGAATTCTTCTTCAAAGTTTGGATATTTTAATACAGGTGCG